TACCCAAATGGGGGCGTGGGAGAGGTACAGAGCACCCCAAGCCGTTTTGTAAATTGGACCATGCCCTTCAGCGTAAAAAGGAAAAAAAAAAAAAAAAAAAATTGAACGAAATGTTAAGCAATACGCGCTTTCGCACAGGTAAACATAAATGAATGCTAAAGTGCGGAAAGGGCGAAACGAATTTTCTGTTGCTTTGTTTTTGTTTCTGTTTTTGTTTTTTCCCCTGCCTTTTTCTTTTTTCCTTTAACACCCTTTCCGCTTTTTGCGCACAAATTGAGGATTGTTCAAGCAGGGAAGCACCGCTTGCGGTTTGCTCCTCATTCCCCCGGACGCCACTCCTTAGGGGATTTATAGATTCATCATCGCAGGGGGCATTTTACCCGCGCGACCGCGTAGGGTGGGGGCACTCCCCTATGCGGGTACGCGGTATGCATCCATACATACATATAAAAATAAACTTATATATACTTCGCACGCTGAGCGTAGGGGTGGCATACAGCCCATACTGCATTCGGTTGACACTGCGCTACGTCAAAACCACGTGCCGAGCTTCACTCGCATATTGGCGACATGTGTTGCTTTGCCGTCCCAGCGTGGAGATCTGCAACCAACTACGGCCATTCGTGCCCCAATTTGATTTGTCAATAGGATAAAAAAAAAAAAAAAAAAAAAAAAACTTTCATGAGATAGCATTTTTTTTTTTTTTTTTTTCCTGTAACCTTCTATTTTATAAGACGAAAAAAGCATCGCTGTGATGGCATACGTGAATCCACAACCGTATTGAACCACCTGTACAGAGTTTGTTACTAATTTATGTAACATATATATCTGTCTCCTTTGGGCGTCCCCTCGAAAGGAGTCCAGGAGAAGGTATTCCTCCCCCGTTTGACGGATTCAGTGACGCACATAGGAGAGAAACGCGTCCATGTGGAGCATCGTAGGGGGATAAAAGACTCTTGGAAAAAATGAGTAATGAAAAAAAAAAAAAATGCTTGTTGAACGGTTGAGCTGTGGGTGGGCCCTTGTGTCTTCGGCCTGTCCACCCTCTTTTGCGAAAGGGGGGGGACCCCACGCAGACGCGTACATACGCGCCTGCACCAATACATACCTGCGTTCACTTCATAATGGACCCCTGCCGATATAGGTTCGTTCTGGAGTTTCATCAAGTCGAAGAAAAATGACGACAACGAGTCCAAGCCGACGGTGGCCCACCTGGGGGAGGAGAACAAATTTTACTTCAACAAGGAACTGAAGCGATGGGTGATAAGGGGCGAAGAAGACAAAGTTGAAAATGAAGAGAAGGTGACAGCCCCCCCCAAAATGAGTACTTTGCAAAACGGCAACCAGGGGTACCGCTCCCTGATGCAGCAAAAGTAGGGTTACTCGGAAAGAAGTACATGTCTTTTTTTGTACTTCATTTTTTTTTCTGTCTTCATTTTTTTTTTTTTTCCATTACTCATTTTCCCCCCTTTCCCCAACCACACACACCTATGCAGCAAAACGAGGAATGCGCGCACTATCTATGCAGAAATCCCCGGGTTAAAAACGATTAAGAAGAAGAGCATTCACATGCAAGGAGGAATTGTGTCTCCTTATATGATGGATTCTGGCAAGAACGAAATGAGTAGCAACACGACTGATGAAAATCGGTCAGATCCATTTGGCTCCAACACGTTCATACCGTGTGTGAAAAAAGTTGAAGATAGCCCTAAATTGAGGAGCAAAGATGAGGAGGGGGAAGATGGTATTAAGAGCACTGTGGATGACACAGGTGTGGATAACAAAAAGACAGAAGGCGTCCCTAGTGGGGTCAGCCAAATGAAAAGGGATAATGGTGACCCAATGAAGCAACTAAATGGAAAGGATTCAAAAGAGGAGAGTAACATACATAGTGTAGAAAACAGTATTTTCACCCCAAAGGTTAACATGGACATGGACAGCGAATATAAGAGTAACCTTCCCAAGCAGAACTTTCTTAACTCAAATAAGAATAACGACAAGGGAGCATCCATACATGACAGTTACTACGCGGGAAATGGAGTGCCCAGTGAAAGCATCCCCAAGGGGCACGATATGAAAGCAGGCTTCCATACCTTTAACCATACAAGTGGGGTTCACATACCACCCAAGGAGGTGCGAAGTGATCATATGGGTAGCCCGATTAAGATGGAAAATCGAAGCAGCAATTTTTATGGTGACATGGGTTTAGGGTTTAATGAAGGGAAAGTAACTCCCCCTTTGAGCAGAGTGCTTCCACCAGTGGCACCCCCTACAGGAGGTGCTGTGAAGCCGGTTTACTTTGAACGGCCAGAACGCGGGGGCACAAAATTTGCTACCATGCCGAATGGCACTTACAACGGGCACGAAATGGAAGGCTCTCCAACGAGAACCCCCGTTGTGGGATCAAGTGGGACCGATTCCTGGGCTACAGGCAAAGATGATATGGCGAGAAGTGTGCCAGTTGTATTTCCCCCTAATAATATGTACTCAACGAAAACGATGGACGAGGAAGATGTGCTTGCAAATCGGGTGAGCGAACAACATGAGAAGGAGACCCTTTCCATGAATGGCAACTACCCAGGAGGTTTCTTCCCTCAGAAGGAAAAGGAGCTAATGGAACATTTTTTAAGTGCACTGGATAAAAGCTTAACGAAGGAAGATGAAGATTTGAAGTGTCGGCTAAAGTTAGAAACGGAAAAGCTTCATTTAATTCCACAAGAAGAAAGCGCATTGGATATTCTGTATAAGAAAATGAACGAGTTGAAGTGTTTAGAAGAGGAGAGCGAAGACGCAGAAGGACTAATCGCGTCGCACTTAGATGAAGGGGATGGTAGCAACACACAAGGAAGAGAAGACGAGGTGGAAGAAGAATCCAACCTAAACAATATTATACACTTAATAAATAATAAAAATAAAAAAATAAAACAAGAGATGGAAATGTTTGTGAACGCATACAACGAGTTGAGAAAGGTAAAAATGAAAAATGAAGAAATGATTCGGTTGCACAGAAAAAGAGAAAAAAAAAATCTGCACATGTTAAAGGAGATGGAGGAGAAGGAGAGAAAAAGGAGTGCCTCTTTTAAAAAGAAGGAAAAAAAATACCAAGAGGAAATCTTGGAGGAAAAAAGAAACTTTGAATTAGAAATTATGAATCGCGAAAAAGAGTTGGAGAAGGTCATGAGGGACCATGAAGTGTCTCTAAGGATGAAGGAAGAAGAATTGGAAATGCTTAGAGGGCAGGAAGGCGCACTGAAGGAACAGTTAAAGAAAGTCGAGTCGGAAGCGGATAGAAAGGTGTCCATGCTGAAGGACGAATTTGAAACGAGGAGGACTGAAGAGATGGAGCTCCTGCGAGGCGAGCTCAGGGATGAAGTGATGAATGAACTGAGAACAGAACTTAGGGACGAAGTGATTAGTGAACTGAGAAACGAATTGAAGGACCAAGTGGTGAATGACCTTCAAACCGAACTGAAAGACGAAGCGGCCGGTGACCTGGAAAAGGCGAAGAAAATCGCAGAAGACAATTTCAACAGCAAGCTAGAAAAGTATAAAGAAAAAATGGAAGAAAATAAAAATGATTTTATTAACAATCTAATCATTGAAAAAAACAGTGAAGTGGAAGCTCTGAGGTGTCAGATGGAGAAAATGAAAAATGAAGAAATTTGCCAATTGAAGGAGGAACAGCAGAGGGCGATGAATGAGAACATGGACCAGATGAAACAGAGTCTCCTCGAGGAGCACCAGCAGCACGTCGAGGAACTGAAGCAAGAGTACGAGTCGCAAATGAGTAGAGAAATTGAGGCGCTGCGAGGTGAAGTGAGCAGGAAGGAGGAGGAATTGGAGACCATGGGTCAAGAATTAATGGATGAGCGGGAGAGACTTGCTCAGATGGAGAATTCGCATGAGGAGAAGATAGCTCAGATGAACAATGAGATGAATCAATTGGCTAAGGAAAAGGAGCATCTCGAATTGAACGTTGCTCTACTGAAGGAGGAAAAGGAAAACGCTATGAACAGAAATCAAAATTTAGAAGATAACCTAAAGAACAACGAAGAAATACACAGCAAAAGGGTAAGTCTGCTGCAAGAACAGAAAGACAAATTGGAGAAAGAAATAGAAGAAATGGCACAAAAGAAAAGAAAAGAATCTGAAGAGATTAGAGAAAAATTTGCTGACCTTCTACAAGCAGAAATTAATAGAATTAAAAAAGAGTCTGAAGAAAAGGTACACACTTATGTTAAACAATATGAAGAAATGAGTGAAGAGTATGAGACGAAGAAAAAGGAATTCAGTGATTTGCTCGAGAAAGCAAACAGCAACAATAAAGACTTGAATAAAAAATATGAAGAAAATATAATTAAAATAAATGAGTACGAAGGAATGATTAAGATGTTGGAGAATCAAACAGAGCAAATGGTACGAAATAAAATTGAAGAACTAAATGAAGAATTTGAAAAGAAAAAAGAAATTTTCGAAAAGGAAAAAAAAGATTTACTAGAAAATTGTGTACACCTTGAAGAAAGTAATAAGAAAATGAAGCAACAGATGGAGAAAGAAATTAATCTCACCATGCAAGAAAATGAACAGAACATTGTTCGCATTACAAATACGTATGAGTCCAGGGTCCAGGAAATGGAGAAGAGGTGCGAACTACTAATGAGTCAGTGCAGTGAACTCAAAATGAAGAACGATGAAATGATGGAAAATTTTTCCAAGGAGAAAGAGCAGACGGAGAGGAGTCTAGAACATTTGAGCAACGTCAACGATGAGCTCACCACCCAGAATGATCAACTGAGTGATAACCTAAACGAAGTCAAAAACGAACTGTCCACTCTGCAAGACAAGTACGAACAAGTGGCTAACCAAAATGCCCACCTGAAGAGCAGCGAAGAAGAGCAAAAGAAACTCAGCAATAGGTTGAGCGACTTAAATAATATAAATAGAGATTTGCTTAAGGTTACAGAAAAGGAGAGAGAATTAAACGTAAAAAATATGAACATCATCAAATCTTTGCAAGTACAAATAAAGGAACAAACGAATTTGTACAAGGAGTACACAGATGAATTGAAAGATGAAATTAAGAAGCTAAAGCGAGCGACTGAGTCGGAATCCGATTCGAATCTCTCGCAATTGTTAAACGAAAACAAAAAATTAAAGTTGCAAAATGAGGTCATAACCACCAAGAGCGAGACCATGTCCGTGGCCCTCGACAACTTAACCAAGAGACTCAGCTTCATTGAGACCAGCATTCGGGATAAGGAATATGGCCAGGAGATCATCCGGCGCGCGGATGAGTTGCCGCTCGGTTGAGCGGCTACGTTAAGCTGCTACGTTAAGCAGCTAAGTTAAGAAGCCATGCGGTGCATTCACATATGGATCGCTTCACCGCCCCACGATGGTTTAATTTTTTTTTTTTTTTTTTTGTGCTTTTTCTGTTTTTTTGCGCCCCCGGGCGCCACACATGTGTCTTCGACTGCCGCACTTCGTGCATGCACCTTCGCATGTACCCCGTTCTTCAAATTCGACGCCCTATTTTTTTAAAGACATGACTCTTTCAATGTCCTGGATTTCGATGTCCTGCGGGAGGTAGGGGGGCAGTTTGGTTCATTGTACCGTTGGCCGCGTGTGCCCTTGGTAGCTTGTGAGGATGTCGCTGAAGGGCGCGACTCTCTCCTTCCTAGTGAACTGTGCCTTACCTGATTTTCGCTGTGGGCCTTCCGCAGGCGTCTGAACAGGGAAGGCGGTTAAACGTGTATAATATGATGGGGGGAAAAATGGGTAACTGGATAAGGATAGCCGATTGGGTGTGGGCAGTACGGACACAGAGTAATGCTGAAAAAAAAAAAAAAAGGGGGGGGCCTCCCCTCTCTCCCACCGGACTTGCCGCCTCTTTTTTTTTTTTATTAAACTGGTGAACTTACTTTTTGTCAATGATTAGCCACTCGAAGAAGGTCCGAATGCCCACCTTCTGTTCTTCTTCCGACTGAAAAGGGGTGTGCATACGTGTGTGTGTACATGTATTGTATGTGTGATGTACACAGTGGTACATACGTAGGACTTTTCACGCACGGGGCAAGGCTCTGTTCTAATCTTTTTGCCTCCCTTACGTGTGAGCGGTTGACGATGTACTCATAGGTTGTCATGTTCTTGGAGATGAGGAAAATGTGGAGGCCGAAGAGTTGTATGACTAGTACAAAGACTACTGCGTTCAGGACGAACAGGAAACATAGCAGTAGGTAGAATAGGATCTCGTTGTACGACCCGTATAACTGAAAAAAAAAAAAAAAAAAGGGGGGGAGGCGATGGGAAGGCGCTGTTTTAGTTTGCGTTAAGGTTAATGTGGTTGTTAACGTAGTTGTTGTCTCAGCGCCACCCCTCTACCACATCATTGTGCAGGTCGATTCTCTCTTTTCGTTTACGTGCTTCCATCTGTCCTTTATTAGATCATGTTTTATGGAAACCGCAAAGAAGACGATGCAGAAAAGGAAGACGACACAATTGAACACGGTGAGAGCGGACAGGAGACCCACGAAGTACCTGCGCGTTGTATATGTGTGTGTGTGTGGGGGGGGGGAAATAATATTTATTTGCATGCACACATGGGTTGAAAAAAAAAAAAAAAAAAAAAAAAAAAAAAAAGGTACAGAGAGTAAAAACCCCGGAGGAGAGAGAGAGAGACTTACTTGTAATTTTTCTTCCCAATACAATTATTCACCCACATGCAGTGGTGGTCAAAAACGGACACGCACTTGTTGCAGACTTTACAATGCTTGCTCTGTGGTTCTACAAAACCACAAATGTCACACTCGTAAAGATTTTTAATTTCTTCCTCGTTGATTTGTTTATTTATGTACTTAAAGGATAAGGGGTCAACGGGGTTGATGATGGTGACGATGTACGAGAGGACCAAGATGATGGTAATTAGAATCGAAAAGAACATGTAGAAAATGATAAAAACACTACTCGGGCTGAGGGCAGAAATGAAAATAATTAACGCCACGATGACTAGGAATATGATGAAGGACATGACTTGGAAAATCTGCAGAGGTAGAGTGAACCCATTTTTCCGGACGAACTCCTCGGCATCTTTGGACTTGGTGTCATCTCGGCAGGCGAAGATTCGGTTATTCATATTGGGCGCGAGCGGTTCGTCAGGCGATTAGCCGTTTGTCCAGTTGGACGCTTGTCGGAGGTGCGCACCAGGGCAGCGAAAAAAAAAAAAATAATAAAATAAATTAAGGCACAAAAAAAAAGCATAAAAATAAAGCGTAAAAATAAAGCATAAAGGAATAAAGCGTAAAAAATAAAGCATAAAGAATAAAGCGTACAAATAGAGCGTAAAAATAAAGCGCAAACGTTCCGCGTAAGAACAAAATGTAAAATGAAAAACCCACCAATACACACTGACCATTGCACGTATGAGGCGAAAGTGACCCTTCCTCTTTTCACAATTGTCCGCAAAAAAAAAAAAAAAAAAAAATTGTCTTTTTTGGGATCCCTGCAAAAATGTTACGCTTTTGGTTCAGCCCCTTGCGCCCTTCTTTGCCCTTCTTTGCCCTTCTTGGCATTTCTCGTTCAGTCTCCGTTTTGGGGAAGAAAAAAAAAAAAAAAAAAAAAAAAGCAAAAAGGAAGAACGCAGGAATAACACACACATGCGGGTGGGCATGGAACATAACATTCACGCAGAACGTTTCACGTTCGCTGAGTCAATTGTTATTTTAATAAGTTGGAAAGAGAAGAAACAAATGAAGACGTCTGCGTTCGTTTACTCTTAATGTGAGGGAAAAAAAAAAAAAAAAAAAAAAAACAGTAAAGATAAATGAGTCATATGTCACATGGCTATTAAAACAATGGAAATTGTTTCCGTGTACTCGCCACTGTTCAAAACACATTTCTCATGCAATTTTGACTCATTCGTCCGTACTCGAATTAAAGGAAAATTTGTTTAAAAAATGGCATGGACAATGACGCCGAGGGAAAGACGAAACGGAGTAGTATGTACCAATACACAAAAAAAAAAAAAAAAAAAAAAAAAAATCGCCATATAGTTGTACACTGCAGTACGGCTTGCCAATTGTCAAAAATCGCGAAGTATTTAAAAAAAAAAAAAAAGAAAAAAGAAAAAAATGGGTGAAAAAAAAAAAAACAAATAAAACCAAGTATAGGAAAACACAATACAGGGTAAAGCAACACGACGGCAACGCGATAATGCGATTCCGTTGAACAGTTGTCTCTCTGCCATATTTCAACTCTGCGTAAATTGGGGAATTATGCTCCGTTCATATTTGTCTTCTTCTTGGGGTCATCTTTTTTTTTTTTTTTTTAAAACGCAAAAGTGTATGAGCCACCGGTCAACAGAGGTTGCGACAACGGATCAGCCACCACACGTGCACACAATCCACGCACAAGTTATACCACCTCTTCACATTCGCCACTCGCTCTTACACATATGCTATTTCCCCAGTTGGGTCCTCTTGCCGTAAACAAAAAAATAAACACTGAGAAAGTAAACTTTGAAATGGCTTTGTCTGGACAGGCATTCTTTTACCACCATCGAGCAGTCCTACTTTTTTTGCACCATTTTTAAGGCTAGAAAAAAATGCACACTTATATGTGTTAACACGGCATTGAGGAGAGATTCACAAACGCTGTGCGCGCTTCACCATGCGGGGGTGTATGTCGTGAGGAAGAGGACACTCAGTGAGGGTCACCCGTCCGCTTTGTTCGAAAAATTTAACATGGCATTCTCCAGCTCATCAAGGGACTTCTCCATGTTATCTACCTTGCTCAGCAAGTTGTTAGACAAATTTTGCATTTTCCCTTTGAGTTCATTAAGCATATTTTCTACGTACATTTCAATGTCGTCCGATTTGGAATTCATGTGGAGGTTCTTTTCATCCTTTGGGGGCACACTGTACGTCATTGCGGCGTTGCCTTTGTTTGTGTCTAGCGAGATGGACGCGCTGCGGTAGGCAGGACAGTAGCTGCCGGGCACCTCCGCCCCTCTTCGACCGTCGCCGCTGTTCATGGGGTATAGGCGGTACTGCGCTTGGAGCGTGTCAACAAATACTCCGTTGCAACAGCTTCGTAGCAACCGCGTCGTAGCAACTACTCCGTTGCAACCGCTTCGCATCAACCGCTTTGCAGCAACCGCTTGCTAGGCGCCACCCCTCCCCTTGCTCGTCAGGGGCCTGGCCGGAGTGCTCGCCCTGTATAGGGCTAGCGAGCAGAACAGGAGCGACACGAGTCCGAAGAACTTCCTGTCCCCAGACTTGGGGGGCGCTTGTGCAAATTTCAAAAAGGAGTAAACAGATACTCCCCCTAGGGCAACTGTCCCAGTGACTCTACAAAATAAGCAATCGTCTTTTTTGTCTTTGGCAGGGGTGCTACTCATCACGCAGCTCATCAAGCAGCTTCTCAGGGTTGTAAAGTTCCGAGGTGTCTATGTGTATGTGTGTAGGAAGCTCACACTCCGTAGGTACCTTTTTCTCTCGTGGGGTGTTCAAGCGTACAGATAAAGGGGATACCGAGGAGTGCCACGTAAACCTCTTCCTGGGATATGTCATATAATAATTTTAGGGGAAGGAGGGGGAGAAAAATGGCGATAAGAGTGTGGCTACTAGTTCAATTCATAAAAACGCTCTTCGCGTTCCCATGACAAACACGCAGACGCACACACACACATACGTTTTATCCTCCCCCTTTTTTATGCTATCACAAAACGGTTAAATTAAACACATAAATGTAAATGAGTAGTTCTCCCCCCCTCACAATCATGCACGCTCATCGACCACATACCACTAGCTATAAGAAGCTCATAACGTTTTTACCTTTCGGTGTGCGTTCAATGCTGCGTTTGTTCCACGCCGTGGGATGGGGGTGAAATCGGCAGAGGTAGGCCCGCGGCGATGTTAGTGGTAAAAAAAATTCATGCTGAAGTTCGTGGCAAAATTGCCAAGTGATTTTTCGCAACATAATTACGCGCAAAGAGTCAGCCTGGAGAGTTCACAAGCGACGGACCATTTGCGTGAATGTGATGCGCTGTTTTTGTGCGCGTATGTACGTATTCATGCGCTTGTTTTTTTTTTTTTTTTTTTTTTCTTTAAATGGAAAAATGAAGACTGGAGAAATTAAAACCCGCATGTTACCCCCAAATGAAGAACGCCTCATCCCTTTAGCGAAAAAGTGAACGAAAAGTAAATTTGTTCCAAATCAGATAATGCACTTGGGATTTTTTTTTTTTTTTTTTTTTTGTAGCAAGCCTCACAGAGTACTTTTCAATCGCGTGTGTGCCCATGTAATTATCTACCTACATAGGAGCATACACGCAAGGGGCGTGCCTACACATATGTGTGCAAATGCGTATTGTTCTTTTTGGGGGGAAGAGGGGAGATACCCCCTCAGCGGCGTCACATACACATCCACACATGTATATACACAATTATTTATTTTTTTTTTCTCAGGTTGGAAATGGGGATAAACAACCGTCCAGCTATGCGGCAGAAAAAAAAAAAAAAAAAAAAAAAAAAAAAACGCGCAAGTAGACCCCTGTAGGAACATGTCGACATTGTGCCATTTCTGCTATCCGTTCATTTCGCTTCTCCAGGCTGTTAACCAAAAGAGAAGAAAAATCTGCGCGCGGTCTTTTGTACATTTTGCAGTGAAATAGTTTCCGAGTTGTGTGTCTATCGTACCTTGGCATGTAAAAAAGGGGTTTGGCTCACTTGTCCACTTGCACTGGCTTAATTTTTTTTCCCCCACGTTGCGAAGTTTCTGCTAAATTTTTGCTAACCTGTTGCTAACCCTTGGCGAATTATTTGTTAATTTTTTTTTTTTTTGCTCTTTTTCTAATTATTTGTGAATCATTTGTGAATCATTTGTGAATCATTTGTCAATCATTTTGCGAATTATTTTCCACCTTTTTTTGTTACCCCCTTGTCTGCACTCCTTTTTCTGGAGGCCAAATTTTTTTTTGTGCAATTCTTTCGCCTTATTCTTTTCCCTTTTTTTCTTCCATTTGCACATTCTGCACCTCGTGGTCGGAATTAGAGCCAGGTCCGCGCGGCGGCAGGACTTTTCACCTACACACCCTCGCGTCTTTTCCACGACCCACGTTGTAAAATTGTTTTTACCACAATAGAAAGGGGACATATGGGAAAAGCCACCTCGCGCTGGTTGTAGTGCCATTAGTTAGGCTCCCACTGGCTAGTCCCCCAGTGAGAAGCTTCCAAATCGACCAACTCATTTTTGTTATCAAGTCGACCAACTCATTTTCTTATAAAGCCAACCAATTAATTTTTGTTATCAAGTGGACCCAATAATTCTCCCACCAAGTTGGCAAATTGTTTTCCCCGCAACGCACATGTGCGGATGCTTGTATTTTTTTTCTTTTCGTCAATAGGACAGTAGACGCAAAAAAAAAAAAAAAAAAAAAAAAAAAAAAAAGGACAAACTGCCAAACTGAAAATAGGGGCTCCAATTTTTTGAAAACCAAATTGTAAGCTACGCAGTACGGACAAAAAAGGGAACAAAAAAAAAAAAAATGAACAACATGTGGATAGAAAAGGATATGGGGGGAAGATGCGCGAGGGGCGGAGCGCTCAGCCAGCAAGTGAACGACGGCATTGAAACGTTGAAGCGGAATAACAATTTTCTTTTTAGTGGCATTGGCGGAAATCTTCCTTCGGAAGCAACAAAGAGGCGCTGCGATGAGCGACTGCGCAGGCCAAACTGCTCGACCGTCTTGCCTGCGTCTACCTCCACCAGCAGGTGTCGGACGACCACAAAGGGGGATGAGAAGTCGTCGGAAAAGTCCAAAGGAAGGGAAGCCCCCCGGTACAGAAAAGGCGAGCAGGGGGAAGAAATGCTTAGAGAAGATAACTGGAGGGACAAAACCAACTCTTCTACATGCCGGAATGACGATGGAGGAAAGGGAACAAATAAAAATTGGCGCAAATTGGGTAGCGATCAAGTGACTTCCTCACGCAAGAGACACAACCAACAGATGGATGATAAGTGCCTCACGAGTGGGTCCAAATGGAAAAGAAGAAACGTTAACGATTGTGATGGGACTCAATACAAAAGCACGCAGTACCTAAACAACAGCGCGGTCTATAATGATAGCGTCGTGAATAATGAGACCGTCGTATGTCCGGAGTGGCCCGAGATGAGCAACAGCAGAGGGGACTCTGCGATGGTCCCGACCACGGAGAGGAAGGGACAGCCGGGGTGCAAACTGAGCAAAGCGGATGAGCACCAAATGAGCGAAGCGGACCAGCACGAAATGGACAACGCGGACGAGGGGATGGGGGACCCCCCGCTCATGGCCCCCCTGTCGAGGAAGCAAAAAGACCACCTAACGAACATACAAAGTATTATTCAAAAGGATATTCCCGCGTTGATAAAAAACACAGTGAACAACCACCTAGCCAAAAACATAAACTACCAAGTGCAGGAGGCAATAAAAAAAAAATTACCCACCTGTCTTGATCATAACGGAGTGGACATGTTAGAAAAAAAGATACAATCATTTAGTACACGTGATGTGCAAGCACAACTAAGTGACCTAGTCAACTCTGAAATGAGAAAAAATGAAAGCCACATGTACGCCACGTTAGGGAAACGCATTCAACAAAATGTGAATGCAGAAATGGAAAGGAACACAAACATGATTAACAAACAGATTGAGAAAAATGTAGCCGATCAAATTGAAAAAAATGTAGCCGATCAGATTGAAAAAAATGTAACCGACCAGATTGAAAAAAATGTAACCGACCAGATTGAAACAAACCTAGAAAAAGTTTATAACGAGGTTGATCTAAAGGTAGGAAAAAAAGTCAGTAACGAGCTAGCCAAAAATATGAATAGCGTACAAAACAATTTACTTCAAAATGTAAATAACGAATTAAAAAGAAAGGTAAAACTCATTGGAGCAAATGTGGACAGCCAAATTAAAGTGCTCATCTCACATGAGCTAAATAGAAATTTAAATTTCTTACACAATAGAATTAATGATAATATGAGTAGAGAGTTAAAAAAATGCCTTTCCATTTTGAATAGAAATTTTGATGAAAATTTGCATGAACAGATGGACAGGTGTGTGCAAATTTTTCTTACAAAAGTTTGTGAATGCCTAAGTGACGAAATTAAAAACAAGGTTAACATGCTGGAAAAAAATATAATAATGAACTGGGACGATCACGTTGTGGAAAAGGTCACAAGTAGAACAGAGGTAGCTATCAACCGAGTTCAGGAGACCATGATCATAATGGACAATAACACCACGAATCGAGCGGAGGGAATCTCCTCTGAGGTTAGGAGCGGCTTTGATCAGCTAGGTGTATTTGTGAAGGAAGGCATTTGTGGGGACCTGCAAAGAGGCCTGCAGGGACTTGGTAAGGAGAACGAAGTGGCGTCTGCAAAAATGGCCCAGGTGATATGTGCCAAGGTGGAGGCCGCGACAGGCTCCGAGATGGCACGACACATGGGTGCGCTGCTGGGCGGCCTGCGCGACGAAGTGATAGACAAGTTGGGGAGTGTACGGACGTCTTTGAAGGGGAGCCTCGAGGGGACTTTGAAGCGAAGCGTAGACACCACTTTGAAGAGAAGCCTTGAGGAAACCCTCATCCGAAGCGTGGACACCACTTTGAGGGGAATTATGGAAACCATCCTGCGGGAACAACTCAGCAAAACCAAACAGACGCTGCACACCGGTGCGTGCGAAGGAGAAGAAGAGGAGGCCAAGAGGACCGATGCGAAATTGGAGACAGTCCTGAAAAGCTCTAACGAAAACTTCAACGCCCTGATCAAAGTACAGAAATCCCTAGCGACCAACCTGAGCAAAGAAATGAAAGTGGTAAAAGACATGAACAATAAAATGATGGACGTAAAAACATTTTTAAAAACTTGGTTAACCTCTGTGCAAAAGAAATTGTCCGACGCGATGGAGAAAAACACGAGCGTAGTTATAAACACTAGTGAGTCTGTCCTTAGGAGATTAGACTCTTCGTGCTCAGGTAGTGATGAAATACTGAATGCGCTATGCGAAAAGGTAATTGAGCAGGTTGCAGATGCCAATGAAAAGTATGCTCATCGCATTGCAGAAGAGGTTGGTACAATGGCAAAATTTCACCAGAGTTTTATGAAAGACCAACGCATGGCTACGGAAGAGAGGCTCGAAAAGCTAACACAAGATCTATTCCATTTGAACGAAACAGCTGCGCAAAAGACACACGAACGATTGAAAATCAACAACGAGGATGTGCTAAGTACCTTTATTGAAACTGTACAAACGGAAAAAGTTCACATGATTATGCACACAGAAGAGATTGTGACGTGCTTGAAGAAGAGCATAGAGGAACACTCCACCAATGTGCAGGACCATGTGAGGGGGCTGCTTAATGAGAAGGACGAACACATGATGGAGGGATTAAAACGGGTCAGCAGCGAATTTGATATTAAACTTGGGGAACAAGCAAAACAGTTTTTAAGTCACCTTGATCGGAAGATAAACGATGCTGTTGGGGGGAGGAGAGTACAGTGTGAGGGGGGTACAGATATGTATAAGCACCCCCACCAGGTGCAGAGAAGCACCTTAGGGACAAATCAGGTTAAACCAATTCGAGTCGAAAAGCGGAAGAGGTACCTAATTGGTAGCGACGTGGTGGCAAATCCTTTGGGCAGCCCCGATGGAGGAGATAACAGGGAAACGAAGCGTGGCACGAAGCGTGACACGCACGGAGAGATGCACCAACCCAACAGACACATCGGGAAGAGTGTAAATAAAAGGAACCTGAATCAGCCGCAGAACAACAGAGAGGCGACGAGCAAAAGGAAGCCAATTTACTTCGTCAATTACTTCAGGAGCAAAAACAACGACCTCGTCGAGGTCGTTCAGCATCTGCATGAACAGAAGAGGAAGAAGAAGAAGATAATAACCCTGTGCGGTCCATAGTGCCGTGTCGTATTATATGTCCCCCTATCTGAAATGAATATTGGAAAAGTGCGTCAATTTTTTTTTTTTTTTTTTTTTTTTTTTTTCTTCTACTCCGTTGCCTCCCTATGAAGAGAATGTAGAATGCTCGAAGGGGGAGGGGTGACTCCCACAACGCAGAAGAGGCCAGTCTTGTTCCTCATCAAACCTCCCCCCCACTGTCCTCCCTGACCCTGCGAAGGTTAAGAAGAGTGTAATTATTTTTACCTTTGCATCAAAAATTTTTTTTTTTTTTTTTTTTACATCTCCAATATATGTACGGGTGTGTACACCTACGTTTGCACCTTGAGCGCGGTTTCGCCGAAAAAAGGGAAAAAAAAAAAAAAACGCTACGCGGCGTGACGCAACGAAATGAAATGAAATGAAGCGAAATGGAAGTGCCCAAAAGACAGACAATTTCGAAACGAAGTGCTTCCCCAGGGGATGGAGCCCCACTTCCTCTATATCCTTGTGAATCCCCCCTTGGCATCGCTTCAAGGGGGGCGAACCAATTTAGTAGTCACAAAAACGCGGTAACGTAAAACCCCGCTAGGGAAGAAGTCTCCAAAGACACACCCCTTCCACAGATGCACTAAATATGTGTGGCGTAACGTACCCGTAGCAGCGCATTCGCTCCCTCTTCAATCTCACATTTGCCATTTTAAAGAGGAAAAAAAAAAAAAGGCACTCTATTCCGTGCGCTGCATATTTGTCCGTTTCGTGAATGTCCATTTTCGGTTTTTTTTTTTTCTCCTTTCTTCATTGAGGGGTAACCGATTTGGAGAAACCTGATAAGGAAAGAGTCATATATCTTTTTTGTGGAGGACAAAAAAAAAAA